GGCGTCCCACATTTGGGACGCGCGTCTCACTTGTCCTAGGAAGTTTGGGACGGACGTCCCAACTTTGGGACGGCTGTCTCGACCTGTTTTGTCCAATTTTTGTGTTCTGGGACTCCGGGAAGCTTTCCTTTCTTTATTCGGACGTCGTTTGATGGCGATAAATGCCCGTTAAAGCTTTATCTTCATATAGGAAGTCTTCTTGGCCTTTATTGAGATGTCAGGCGAGCTTTGTCTTTGTTGTAGGAAGTCTCTTTAGCCTTTATTGAGAGACCGGACAAAATTAGGGGTCTACACCATTCATTTATATCATTTCCTGAAAAGGAATTTTGAACTAATTCTGCCCTTTTGTCAAACTATACATCAGTAAATGTGGGTCTAGAATAATAATTTCTAAGTTTTGGATATGTTCTCATTTTGTTTACTTTTATCGTATTTATAGAAGTATTTCCTATTTGTTCTATTTTCTTTTTTAATTCTTCTATTTGTATATCTGTATTACTTTTTAATCTTAATGAATCTAATTCTTTTTGTGGTACATTAAACAATTTATATATTGGCTTTATAGGTTCTTTTGATCTACTTGGTATATATCTTTTAAAGGTTTATTTTCTATTCTAGTTAGTTGTTTTGACATAACTTCTAAAACTATGTTAGAATAATTAAGCTGAGAATGTAATTTTTTTATATCTTTTATTTGTACCGATTTTTCCTCACTTTTAACATCTTTATAAGGACTTGCTTCAATTTCTAGATCTTTAGTGGGTTTTATTATAGTTCCCTATTGTGGAGGATACTCTACTACTATTAGTTCATTATTAATAGTTTTCTAGGTATTTGATATTTTTTCTAAAGGATATATATGTTTTTTCTTGACTGTAGTTAAAAAACCAATCGAAAAAAATATAAGTTTATTTCATGTTGTTCTAAATAGTCATAAATTTTTTTTCCTAAACTCTTTTGTTTGTTGTTTTGTAAAAGTTTTAAAATACCATTCCCTATTTTCTTTATTATATCCTGCTTCAAAATCTTGTCTAATCCAATTTTTATCTATACAAAAGGATGCTTATCTACCTACAGTATTTAATATTTGTGAAGCGGTTGGAGAGTATTGAGGAGATTTTGTTCCCCTTGACTCTTCATATATGGGCTTTGTAACTCTAGGTGTAATATTGTTCAATCCTCTCAAATCTTAATTTATTGTCGATCCGTCAATGGAATGTCTTGAAGTTTGTCCTTTATATATCATTTGAGGTTCTTTATTTTTAAAGTATAATGATTTATTCATTCTAAATCTAATATCAGTACCATCTTGAATTATTTCTCTAATTTAAGTATTATATACTTTCGGTTCTTCCATAATATCTTCTAATTTCCATTCCTCCGGAATTTTATTAATTACCTCTTCATGACTTTATCTTTTTGGATTGTGTACTGATGACTTTCTAAGATTGGCTTCTACTAATATGGTTTCATATTCTGGTGAAGATCTTAAAACTTTATAATTATAATCTATTCTGGTTACTTTGTAATAAATTCTATAAATTATTTGTATTGGACCAGATTCTTCATCTACAATTTCTTCGAGAGATTTGGACATATAATTTTATAGCATTACTTGGTCTTATCATTTCTCATATTCATCGAAAAGTTTGGATAACAGCTTAAAAAAGCAGGCCCATCATGTAAATTACTTTCTAATATTGCAATTATTGAATCATTAAACTTTTTAAGTCTTATATCTCTTAATAGCATTAATAATCGACTATTTACTCCTATTCTATAGTTTGGTTTTGCTACAACTTGTATTAGTCCTAGATGAATAAAATTATATGCATCTTTTATATGTTGATCTAGAATTAATTGTTCTAAAATATTTTTAATCTTATTATTTTTTGTTCCTAAGTTATTCCACTATATGTATTTCATCTAAATTTGTTGACCAAAATTTATGTTGTTTATAAACTTCACATTTTCTTACTATAGGTATTGACCAATTATGTAAATAATTTTCCATTTCAGCTATTTGTAATTGTTTATCTTTATTATTTATAGAAGATGTAGAAGACGAAGCTTTTTTTTGCAGTGTTTTAACTATTATTTGTTTATCTTTGTTTCTTAATCTTAAATCGCTTAGAGTTCTAAGGAGATTTGGCATTCTCACTCTTTCTCTGGTTTCCATGCTACGAGACCACCTCTTTGCCTTTTCGGCCTATCTGGCTGACCAATGGTCTCACTACCCCTCCTGGGTTTTACTGCCTAGACCACCAGACGTAAGGGCTGACCAACGTATGAGCACCTCTCAGTGCTACACGAATTCCTTCAAAGAGTTAAGAGGTCCAAAGACCCTTTAAACTCAAGGATTTAGGGTTAAGATACAAATCTAAACACCTAATAGCTTAAACTAAGCAACAAAGTGACTTAGTTTCTTCAATTTTTTTTTTAGATGTTTAATATTACTCTTGTACCAAATTATTCCCCAATTATAATCGTATCTATTTTCTCTCAAAAATATTTCTTTTTGAGATATATATGTTTGGCTAATTTTCTTTTATATTTCTTAATTTTGTTTGATATTTCTATTGCTGGGTTTGGGTAAGTGATAGCTCTTACTCTAGGAGGGACTAACCATACAATATCAGGGAATCCTATTACTTGGAATTTCTTTATCCATATTCTACCCCGACAAGAAAACCAAATATGATTAATATTTCAGAGCACTATGGCTCGATACCAACTCCTAAGGATCGATAATAATAATAATAATAATAATAATAATAATAATAATAATAATAATAATAATAATAATAATAATAATAATGATAATAATTATAATAATAATTATAATAATTATAATAATAATAATAATTATAATAATAATAATAATTATTATTATTATTATTATTATAATAATAATAGTAATAATAATAATAATAATAATAATAATAATAATAATAATAATAATAATAATAATAATAATAATAATAATAAGCAATAAGTGAATATAGAAACACTACACAAACTCATGAAAGAGTACTCTAAATTATACAAAAAAGATATAATTATATTCATAATTTTATAATAAGAAGAAGTAAATTTTTTTGAATCTAATAATCCTACTTAGATTGCTAACAACTTTTAATGCAAATTAAATTATTGTGTGATATAGGCTCTCTTTAGAATTAACATTTGTGTTTGTGTTAAGATGATTAAGAAGACTCAAGGAAAATTTCTACTTGACATAAAGATAATCAATTGGATTATCAAAGCATGAAGGTTCACTTCACAAGAGTTCAAGAAAGAATAAGAGGATTCAATTTAAACAAAACATAAAACAAACATGGAAACATGTAAGAGCATGGGGAATTAGGTGAATAAGAATATGAATAGAAGATGGAAGGGGGAAGGGGAGGGAGTGGTGGCACGCCACTTGGAAAATGGTCTAACTTAAGATAAGTGGTGGTTGTCTTTGAACTAAAGTTCAATATAAGACTAAGAAAAGAGGACACTTAAGAAGACCCAAGTCTAAGATCCAAACACTTAAACTTACATTCATAAATGTTCAACCATTTACAACAAGAGGGGAGGTTATTTTGTCCAGGCATTCATGAGGGCCCTAGGAGAAAATATATATAATTCTAGAAGCTAGGTCATTAAAGGGGCAAAACCCTTGTCTTGGATACCAAGGAACACACCCCCAACTTCTATTTTGTGAAAGGTGACCTAATTTGACCTCATGGGACATCCCAAGGCAAACGGCCAAGAGTCCATGGTCATTTCCTCCAAATTGGTTGATAACATGAAGCAATTGGTGTCTAAGACCAATCCATGTGTTGGACTATGAGTTCCAATACTCCCATCCTAAAAAAAGGTTTGAACATCAAAACAGGAGTGACGAGCAAACTTACAAAACAAAAAAACATAAGTCTAGAAAAACTAATGAAAAGGAAAATAAATAAATAAAATATTAGAAGTGAGTAAGGAAGTGACTTCCTTATAGTCATGTTCCTAATAATCTTTCTAAAAGGTCTTGTCCCTTCTCATGAGGTATCATGAGATTACTATGTCTCACTCTAAAAATATTAAGAATCATAAATTATTGATGAAGTATTAACATTTATAAATCAAATCTTAACACATATTTAACTATTACATATAAGAATTATATTTCACTCAGAAGTTACTTAAGAATTAACATAATTACAATTTTTTATGAGAAAATAACTTTTCACATTTTCTTATTCATTTCAATTCCCTGTTTTCAATTATAAATTACTAGAATAAATTTGTACTCACTTACTGACTATGTTATTAGGCAGATTAGGTTAACAAAAGTTATATAAATCATTCCAAATGGAAATAAGTAAACTTTGTAATATGCACCTCTCTAATTTGCCTCCTAAAAATATATATTCTTAAAACTTCACTTATAAATTAATTAGAATATAAAAAAAAATCATACATCCACACATATATGTTAGTACTCTCTAGCATCAATTCATATACTACAACTAACACAAAATTTTCAAAATAAGTTAAGAGCAAAACACCTTTACTGATTCTTTAATTCTACTCTCATCATCACTACTTATATTTATATTATCCACAATCCGACTAAAAATAATTCATATATATATATATATATATATATATATATATATATATATATATATATATATATAAACAATGTTTTATGCCAAAACCAATTTGTAACAACCCTCTAATATCACCAAAATTCATTTAGATTATTCTTCATAGACTAGGTAAACAAATTTTGTGCTACAATGGATTTTTATTTAAAAGCCAATTTAACATAAAATTATTCATCAGATTTTTTTTTTTTCGTTTTCTTTTCAAAAACCATACATCGATATTTATACACTAAATTGGTAATTTACCCTCTATTTGCCCCTGTGGCGCTACCCAAGTCCCAAATAGTGGCACTCTGCACTGGTGCCTGGTTGTAGTATCCGTACATTACAGCGTAGCTCCGATAACCGAGAATGCGAAATCTTTCAGCACCTCATTCCTTCGGGCTTTTCGTCACCTCACCCATCTTTCGACCCAGAAACCTTCCTTTTCTCACTCTCTCCTCACCTTCGACCAGTAACTTCTCTTTGTGTGACTCCTTCTCATGTAGACGCCTTTTGTTTATTAATCCTTTCTAATCTGATTTTCCATTCCACAGGGAGATCTACTTCTACCATTCAATGCGCCGTTCAATTCCGACCCTGCATCGACATCCACAAGGTACCGCCATACTTCTTCTTTCTCTTAATTAAACCTTATTGATATTAATATTTTGTGTGAATAAGTGTCAGGGTGGTGTTTATGGCAGGGGAAAGTGAAGCAAATTGTGGGGTCGACCCTGCAAGACATAATGGGTGACGGGTTGGATCCTGTGACCAATTTCGAGTCTGATAAGTCGGCTGCTGAATATGCTACTCTCTATAGACGAGATGGACTCACGGGTGGCCACGTCATCATGCTTGGTGCCGACCCTTTTAGCAAAGCTGCTGCCTTGGAAGCATTGCATGCTTATCCAGGTATTGCTGTTAGGACTTTGTATTCTCTACCACTCATTTCTGACATTTGTGTTCAATATTTAAGCGTAATAGCATGTTTACAAACATGTTGAGAATAGAAGAGTAGTGATTGAATCATGGAAGCTACAACTATTAGTTGTGGAATCACATTCGAAATGAGAAACCAAACGGACTATAAACTTGAAAAATGTGGCTAAAACGAGTGTTAGCAATACACTCCCCTTTCAACATATTTTCCCAAGTTGGTTTAAAAATTTTGAGGAGTTCTAGCAATGTCCTCCTTTTTAACATTCTCTTATTAGTCAAAATTTATTGAAAACGTCAAATTCATGATTGGGGTTCATTAAATAAAGAGTGAGACTGACATAATTTTTGTGATTCGCAACAAATTTTAGCTAATAGTAGGAAGTGTGTTAAGAAGAATGTCTTGCTAACTTTTTCTTCGGAACGAGATTCGTATATTTGGTAGGGCCCTTGTGCCTGTGATTGATTAATTTTGAAGAATGTACTGCTAGCATCATGCAATTAAACTTCTAAATAAAAGATAATAATTTTCAACCTCATACTACATGGTTGGATACACGGTTCTTTTAATTGATTATTTTGTTTTTTTAAAGGTCTCTTTCGATATGCTAAACATGTTATTAGTTCTTCAAATAGGCTAATTCAAGCCCAGATAATCTTAAGAAGTTTTGTGCTATCGGTTAGTTATATGCTGTTCCCTATCTGAATAAAATATTTAAAAGCTTTCACTAATTGTAAAGAAAAGGTTAGTTACTATAAAGCTATAGTGATATACTACTGCCTTTAGTTTCCTGTCACTGTAGCGCATCCATGGATTGAATTTAGACTCCAAAATTAGAAAAGTAAAAAGCTAACACGAGATAAATTATTTGGCTAATGTTAAATTGCATATTTTTTTAATTGTCATCTCGTGTGACTTTTTTAACTTCGGTTCCTTTGTTGACATGAGATGAGACATTTTGTATTGACCTTAAAATTGTCTATGCTATGCCTACATACATAGCATTCCCCTTGTTTTTTATGGTTGATAATATATGTGAAACTTACAGATTTTCCTCTGCTGAACTTAATGTGGAGGACTGGTAAAATTTAGGCGGTCTTCAAGTTGGCGGGGGAATAAATTCTGACAATTGTTTCAGTTACATAGAGGAGGGAGCAAGCCATGTTATTGTGACATCTGTAAGTCATATCTCTTCTTTTTTGGGTTGTTCATTCTTTTTTTATGCCATTATCATTTATCCAATATCCATCGAGCCAAAAACATTTTTTATTATATGTGTGTGGATACTGCTTCCAACTTAAATGCATTGTCATTATCCGCATTATTACATATGGGGTTTGGGTTCGAATCAACAAGAGCAGTTTCCCTTTCATTTTGATATATAGTTTTATATTTGTATTGTTGTAGATCTAGACCTCAAAATCAAAATTCAAAAAGGAACCATATAAAGTTTTTCTCCAAATGTGATTTGTATTAACTCAGCTTGTTACTGTCTCATTGAAGAACACACAATGGCATTTGTTATTGGAAAATTCTTTTAGTCATATATATATATATATATATATATATATATATATATATATATTAATTGATTCTGTTTTTTACAGCATGTATTCAATAATGGAAAAATGGATCTTGGAAGGCTAAAAGATCTTGTTCAAATTGTTGGAAAAGAGAGGCTTGTGTTGGATCTCAGTTGCAGAAAAAAGGTACTAAACTAGAGGGAAGTATTTGTAATCAAGAAATCGTTTCATAATTGATAATTTTGATACATTTCTGAACAGTCAAGACAATTTATGATGTTATATACATGTCCTACATTTGTATTCTTTTATCCTTTAGTTGGATTTTTTTAAGCACTTCTGGTTTTCATTGCTCAGGATGGTAAATATGCAATTGTCACTGATAGATGGCAGAAGTTCAGTGATGTTTTTGTTGATCCTGGTGTCATGGAATTTCTTGCCAACTTTGCTGATGAGTTTTTGGTCCATGGTGTTGATGTTGAAGGGAAGAAGTAAGTAAAAATTTTCTCTTTCTTATGATAACTGAATATAAAAGCAAAGATTCTAGTTATGGATTTATTTAGGAGCGTGAAATCCATATTTGTTAGAATAGTCAGTATTTAGTTATGTATCCTGAAAGAAATAGAAAAGTATTCTTTATTTGAATTGTTCTGCCTATTTTTTTGCTGTCATTGCTACTAGAAAACATATTAATGATTTTACATTCTATTTCATAGATCTTAGTCTCTGTGTACATCCTTGTTTGATAGTATTTTTTGGATTGTTGATAATATCAAATTTGAGCTCTAACTTTGACTGTGTACGAATGCCATCAAAGTAGTTTAATTGGTGTGGTTGAAGCATTATTTCCTTTCTGGGTTTGTGCTAAAAGAGATTGTTCCGTAGTCAGACATACACTACTATAAATATAGTAAAGAAATGAACATGATACATATGAAAAGTTCAATTTAGTAGTATAACGTTCTTCGATTGGGTATTTGTTAAATTTAGAGAGAGAACTTAGAGGATGAAAATACTGTATTATTTAGAGGATTGCAGTACATAGGTTCGGCATAACATCCACAGGTTCTTGATCCTTGGCTAATATTAATTGAGTGCAATTCCTTAGATACTAATCCCCATGAACATATTATTTGCTGCGTGCATTATAATTATTTACAACCCTCCACTCAACCTGAAGCTTTGTCCCAAGGTTTAAACATAAGAAAATATAATAATTTCACTCTGATTAAGGATATTATTAGTTAAGTTCATTTAATTTTCTTGATTTCATATAAAGAAACTACTTTCAGAAATTATTCTTATTCATATATTTTGGAGACAGTGGTCATTCGAATTAGCTTCATGGTATGTTTGGAATAGTGACTTTATTGAGTTAAATTAGTTGAAATTTGATTATATTTTAGTTCACCAGTTGAGATTAACAGAGCAGGAAATTGACATAGTTTGAAATCGCTAGAGTTCACTTACATTTGACTTAGCAGCAGTAAATGTCATTTAAAAGCTGACAATAGTTCTAGATTGCCAGAAGTTGCTGCTAGTTCCCAAAAAGGCATTGGAAGATAATGAAAGGTTGCCAGAAAATTCACAGGGAAAGTGATAGTTTGTTGCAAAAGTCACAAATGGTGATAGCTTGCATGAAATTTTTACCATATGGATGATTATGGCAACGGTAATGCAGTGGGAAGGAGAATGAAAACCAGGTGTGTCACAACAAAGGAGACCTAAAATAAAAGGAAAAAAAATGTTAGAAATGGGATATATGTCTAACTCACTATTTTGACTTGTGATGTAAAGTTTACACCTGAAGATGAGTGATTTTTAATTTCCGATGCATTCTTTTACATGGAGGATATGAGTGATTTTTAATTTCCAATACATTCTTTGACATTAAGGATGAGTGATTCAATAATGGCCCATTATAGGGTAGTACAAATGTCTCAACATCATTAGAGATGACTAACATCTTAGAAAGTGGATATTGTTGACCTCATTTAACCTTATAAAACTGACTTGTTAAATAAGATTTGAACTTTACTTATATGCTGAAATTTAGTTGTATCTCGATGTGAGATTTTAATTAAAAATGCCCTCAAAGAGAAAATTTGGGACAGAGTGGCCATTTTGTTTTTCACCATCCTGAAAACAGGGGAGGAAACAACAGCTGAGAAAATATTTTGCAAATAAAGGAGTCCTAAATTTGAAGGGAACATGGAAGTGCAATTGTGCAGGGACAGGTTATGGTGGATGGTAATACTTCACTACCATGTTGAATATTTAGAGAGGTGGAAGTTACAGAGAACATAGAGAATGAAGTGCTTTATTAGTCAAGAGAATGTAGTTCATGGGTTCTGCATATCAACCATATATGTACTCTTCATAGTCTTGGTGAAAGAGATTATTTCCTAGGCTAATATTATTTAGTGCAAACTCCGTATACACTAAAACCTTGATCATTAAATGCATTTTATCATGATACATAAATATATTATTTGTCTAGTTCCTCACTGCATTAAATATTATTATTACTTGACAGTATTATGTACGCCTTTTATCATTTGTCCCCTATTTAAATCAACAGTTTATTAGATTTTGTGCTTCATCAAAGTATTCTGTGATGTGCGTTTTCAAATTATCTATTTATTTCAAAATATTTATTAAAGAATATATCTAGGAATCTATGGGTGTGTTAAGATAAACTGAATTTCCTTCAGAAAATGAAAAATATACAACTCCATATGCCTGCATTGAAAACCATCTAGTGATAAATGAAATCTCTTTGTAGGTTGGGAATTGATGAAGAGCTTGTGGCTTTGCTTGGCAAACATTCTCCGGTTGGTAGACCTTGATTTTATTTTCATCAATTGTGACAGTTTTCCAATTTTCTCAAATATCAATTAAGTATTTATATGCATTTCTGTTGAGGAGTAGTAAATGTAAGAAAATATTTGTTCACTGTTAAAAACTTATTATGTCTTGTCTTGTAAAATACTGCCTCTGGAATGCCAAGAAACATTTAAAAACTTATTGTGTCTTGTCCTGTGTCAGATTTCTGTCTGTTTATCTTTAGGAACTGTTTGAAAATTGCTTGGTACTCATGAAATTTTATTTTCAGATTCCTGTTACTTATGCTGGTGGTGTGACTGGAATGGCTGATCTAGAGAGGATAAAAAGTGCCGGAATGGAGCGTGTGGATGTAACTGTGGGCAGTGCCTTGGATATTTTTGGGGGAAACTTGGCTTATGAAGAGGTTGTAGCTTGGCATGCCCAGCAAAAGGCCTTCGTAGTTTGATTAATGTGTTCTTCAAGTTGGGGTAAGGACTAGTGAGTAAGGATCTGTTTTTAGTGTTTCGCTAGGTTTGTGACCGTGTATCAGGTTATTTTGGTATCTCTATATATTACTCTAGCATTTTCCTTTCTGTTGTGTGATTCTCACATGACTACCTACCACTACTTATTTGAACTTTTATAGTCTCATGTTTGTATTTTTTTTCCTTCTGATAAAATAATTATATTTTGTTTTTCTATATGTTTGTCTAAACTATTTATTTTATAAATAAGTAGTTTTCTGTTTTTTTTTATTAAGAAATAATTTTTTTCTGCTTTTTTAAAAATTATTTATTTCAGAAATCTTTATTTTAAGTTTAAATATAGTGGTCAGCCCAGACCAAATGGTAAGATAATGCTTATATTTTTTCCAAGCAAAAGTCTTAGATTGAATCACGTTTTATTATCTGGATAAAAATTTATTGGAAAAATCTAAATTGTATTATCAATGAACATCAATTACTTATTGAATATCCCATTTTCAATTATAAAGAGTTAAGATGGGGTATTTTAAATGTTTATATATATATTTACTAATAAAAAATAGTAACAATGTATATTTAAATGAAAATACAAAACAATTAGAAAGTCTCTTACAATGTCTAATAGTTCATATATTCTTCTTCTTTGTCTAGTAGTTCATATATTCTCTTTCTTCAGATGGATTGTTTTTCTTTTTATCGCCTTCAAGTTGTTGATTTGATCGTAGTTGTTGATTGCCCGTCTTGCCAAAATACTTGCCAAAGTACATTGGCTCATGAAACGTTTGGATGGACTAGAATTAAGAACTTATATGAAGAATTCACTCTTTACTACTTGATAGTTATATCTCACTAGTGGATAGTCATTGTTTTAATTGTCTAATATTTTTTTAATAAGCTTGAATATGAGATTATCAACACAATTAGCATAGTAATTAACATCTCCAATGCCTTAAACTTGTCCCTTATACAATGCCATAAACTTGTCCCTTATACCTTCCATAAGCATCTACAAACCAATATCTATTTCTCGGTCTCTCCTCATCTAGTTCAAGGGGAGTAGACTCTGAGGCATTGACACAAGATGCAAACTTAGATAATGCTTGAGAAAATTTACTATCAAAATCTTTTTGTTAAAAACACATTATTTTTTTACCTTGCAAAAAAATGACTTTGAAAATAATTAAAAACAATTAAAGGGCTCTACTTTAAAGGGCTCTACTCCCTCTTCTTAGATCTATCATCAACAAATTTACTAATGGTCTTTTGTATATAATTTTGTTGAAAAACCTTATATGCAAGTACAAAGCAACATCTATCTACAAACAACAAATATTTAAACTAAATTATAAATTCATAAATGAATAATAACGAAATATTAGAAAAACTATTCACAATGGTGTGTTTGTCCACACTAATGCAACCCCTAGTGTACAAGCTATCACCTTTTTTAGATGCTCAATTTTTCTAAGTAGTTTTACACTTTAAGTGCTATAGAGGAATATTTTCACTTTCTCAAGAAACTATTCCACACATTATATTTCCAATCTATTGAGCTTTCTTACCATCTTTTCAAGTTTCCTTAAACATCTCTAACAATTTATTAGAAGATCTTTGGTGTAAATTGTTTTTAATTTTTTCTTCATCCTCAACTCTCCATATCACCTTCCTATGTAAAAGTACAAAATGAACACAACAAAGATAAGCTTGTAATGAGATTAAAATTTATTATTAATCACGAATAATGCAATCAATCAACAATTATAAATAAACTTTTATGAACAACATGATGGAAATATTCTCCCTCTTTCACCATCGATGACGCTGAAAGCCTCACATCTTGAGCACCCAAGGTGAACCAAAATTCTTTCCAAAATTTTTAAAGAAACTTGGCACTAACTCCTCTAATGAAGGTTCCTTGTTAGGAGAATAGGAGAAAGAAATCCCCAAAGACATTTAAAAAATCAATTCAAGGTACAAGCAAAATATGCAAGTTCTACATACAAGTTTTAACTTCATTCAAATGTGATTCAAAAAGCTACACAAGGGGTCATATATATAGTTGTTCCCCTCTATTCACTCACTCACCTAAGGAATGTGAGACTAATTTTGCCTTATACAAGTGATGGTCGAAGGTCCTAGCTTCAAGTCCCACCTATACCACTTTTAATTACATTTATGAGTTTATATTCCAAAAAACTATCAAATGTTGCAACTAAGAGGTGAACCTTGGACCTCCTTTAGTTTTTGGAGCGCATTGTCTGAATTTGAGAAGCTAAAATGATGTATTCCCTTTTTATTGCAGCCAAGACTTGAACCTTGTCCTATTTTTTTAATTGTAGCCCCTTCAAGTCTCATCTCCTCTAATTTTGGCTTTCTTCAAGTGTTTATATACGTGATAACTCTCTGAAGTTACAACTAAGAATAGAACTTGGACTTCTAGCTTGTATGTGGCCGAAATTAAGCTAGGACAAAAGGTTTGGCCGAGACTATGCTTTGGGACAACTTTTGGTTCAACCCAAGCTCTCCCTTGTGCCTTTATTTCTTGTATCATTCGTCCAAGGTCCCATATCAAAATAGGGAAGAAGTTTTTAAATGTTTATATACCCGTAAGTCTCCTTGATGTACAACCAAGTGGAATGAGTGAAGGGTGACCGTGGTTCTCTTCATGCAACCATATCAAGCTCTTTGGCCATGCCTTATGTGTTGGGTCACGGTCTTGTGTGTTGGGTCAAACATGTCCTACAAAAAGACGTTTTGCAATTTTATACAAAGTAAAGCGATAGAAGATGATTCTAATAAGAGAGACTCCAAAGGAGGAGTTTTCTTGGGGAAACTTCCTCTTCTATCCCTTAGCTCTTGGGCCTTGGTTGAGGCCCAATGTGTTGTGGCCTAGATGGTTCTTTAGGCCTTATTTGAGGCCTAGTATGGTGAGACCTAATGTGTTATAGCCCAAATGGTCCTCCATCAGACCCTCCCTCTTGAGAAGGATTTGATCTCAATTTATTAAAATTGGGAGATCTAATCTAGGTATTTATTAAAAGTGGAAGATCTAATCTAGGTATAACACAAGGACTGAGACTCTCCTTGACCTTAACCCTTCTTCAGCAAGTCACTTATTTGATTTTCTATCTCAAGGGGTTGTTCATTCAATGTTCTATTATCTAAAAGTGGAAGTTCATAAGGTACTTCTTTGGGAAATAAATCATTATTCTCAAAATTATGTTATACCCCATGTGGTAGACAATTAAGTTTGTGACTTGTGATAGCAAGTGCCCTTTTTAAGAGAGAAGGAAATGATGTGGACATAAAGGCCCAAACCCATAACGAGAAGGATCAAAACCAAGACTTAGGTGGACCTATGACAAGAGGCAGACTCAGAAAAACACAAGAGGCATTGCAATACAAAGTAACCAATTTGCTAAAGGCCCAACTATTAAAAGATCCAAACATAGAGGAGTCTAGACCTATCACATGCATATAATGTTTGGAGAGCTAGGAGGCCCAACTAAAAGATTTAGTTTTTATTATTATTATTTTATTTGCTGCAGTGGGGATTTGAACCCAAGACCCAAAACTTATAATGCCTTCACTGAACCATCTGGGTAACTTAAGTTTGCTTGGGATATTAGGATTTTAATTTATCTTTATTTCCTGCAATGAGACAAACTCATAAACTTAAGTTGTATTAAACATTTGGGAATTCAGAATGAACGGACGTAATATTCAGATTACTTTGTGAGTTGTTGCTCTGCTAGGGTTCTTCCTTGCATCACTTGATCTTATCAAGAATTATTCGATTCTTGTGGCGATCCTTCTTGGCTTATCAAATATTCTTATTTGTGGCACCTACGGTATCTTTTATGTTTTTCTGTTTTCTATTTTTAATCAAATCAACTCTTAAAATCTAACCCTAAATTGTTTCTCTTCTATTTGAGTGTCGTCATTTGGTATTCAGAGTAAGGTTCAAAAGCGGTATTGTTCATCGACACTGTTCGCGGTACTGTTCATTGTGTACTTGTTCACAATACTTGTTCATTTGTCACTCGTTCACGTGTACTTGTTAAAAAAAAACTTGTTGTTTAAGCAATTTTGATATTGAATTTTATTTAGATATATATATATATATATATATATATATATATATATATATATCAAAGTTGTGTTTGAAATTAGTTTTACTGCATAAAAGAACAAAAAAAGAAAAGAATCAAAAAAGGAAAAGAATAAAAAAAAGAAAAGAATTTAAAAAAGGAAAAGAATCAAAAGAAGAAAAGAATCGAAAAAAAAAATATATATATATATATATATATATATATATATATATATATATATGTAGCAGTTGTTCTTTCTTTAAATTTCAGTGCACATTAGCTATTTGATAAAATTCCTAAGTGTCAAACGTCTTAGTCTAATATTTGTTTTTCCATACAGTTTAGATTTGTCTTGCTTGTTGTTATTAGTAAAATTGTTCTTTGCTACTTGTCTTTTGTTGGTACTACAATTCTGTTTTATTCCTTGTGATTACTATAGTTGAAAGTGATTTTTGAACTATAGATTGTTTGATACTTGTAAGAACCATAAGTCAGAGAATGAGTGGAAAAAGATAAGAGTGCATATTATACAAAAGCCAAATTGAGAGTAAACACGAGTGGTACATCTTTGAGTGCAAACACGTAAGAAAAGTGGTGAGGTCCTATTATTTCATTTGTTTGGTCATTTCTTTTTTTTACTCGAAAGATGGCAGGTGCAGGTGGTAGTGGTGGTACCCCTCCTCTAGGAGGTGACAATAGATTATTGATTGATGCCATTACAGCCCAAATGCAATGAATGTTGACAGAATATACCGAGGAGTTGTATGGGAGAATTGAACAATTAGAAAATGATGATGATGGTGGAGGTAGAAGGAGGAGAAGGAGAAATAATGAAGGTGATGTTAGAGATAACAGAATTGAAGGAGTAAAGCTGAACATATCCCCTTTTCAAGGAAAGAGTGATCCAGAAGCATATTTGGAGTGAGAAATAAAAATTGAGCAACTGTTTGCATGCCATAATTACACAGAAGATAAAAAGATGAGGGTGGCAGCCATGAAATTCACTGATTATGCTCTCATTTGGTGGAACCAATTACAAAGGGAAAGGGTGAGATATGAAGAACCCTTGGTGGAAAGTTGGGAAGAAATGAAAAGGTTGATGAGAAGAAGATTTGTTCCTTCTCATTATCAAAGAGATCTTCACAACAAGCTCCAAAGACTCATACAAGGTAGTAGAGGTGTTGATGAATATTACAAAGAGATGGAGGTTTCCATGATTAGGGCTAATGTTATGAAGGCACGGGAGGCTACTATGGCCCGATTCCTACATGGGCTAAATAGTGAAATAAGGGATGTTGTGGAGCTGCAAAATTATGTTGAGTTGGAGGATTTAGTACATCAAGCTTCTAAGGTGGAACAACAATTGAAGAGAAAGGGTGTCATGAGGAGGAGTTCATCTAATTTTCACTCTCCTAGTTGGAAGGACAAAAATAAGAAGAAGGGTGGATCATCAACAAGCAATTCCAATGTTATAGCTCATAGAAATCAAAATAAGTCTGATGAGGCACTTAAGAAAACAAAGAGTAGTGAGGTTAAGTGTTTCAAATGTTTGGGAAGAGGTCACATAGTTTCTCAATGTCCCACTAAGAAGACTATGTTACTTAAGGAGGATGGAGAAATAATTAGTAAATCTTCTTCAGATTATCCATCTAGTAATGAAAATGAGCATGAAGATGAAAGAGAGTTAGAAGGAGATTTGTTCATGATTAGAAGGATGTTGGGTAGTCAATCAGTTGAATTGGATGATTGTCAAAGAGAAAATATTTTTCATGCAAGGTGCCTCATTCAAGGGAAGTTGTGCTCTTTGATCATTGATGGTGGGAGTTGCACTAACGTGGCTAGTGCAAGGTTGATTTAAAAAATGAATTTGGAGACTAAGCCACACCCGTGACCTTACAAACTTCAATGGCTTAGTGAAGATGGTGAGATGACCGTGAATAGGCAAGTTGAAGTGGATTTTTTCATAGGGAAATATGAAGATTCTGTTTTGTGTGATGTGGTACCTATGAAGGCTTGCCATTTACTTCTTGGG